CAGTGGGCTTCAGTTTTCATCAAGGAGCCTGAAAGAGGCCCTCTTTCTGTTGTTCACTTCTGTTCTATCTTCTGGAGCTCAGGACAGTGGCCTTTATGGCCCCCTGTGCCTCTGAAATGTGGAACCAGGTAGTGGCATAGCCAGCAGGCCAGAGGTGAGGTGTGTGGGGGAAGAGGCTGCAGGTGTGAGTGGCTAAGCTGGTCGCTGGGGGGTGGGGCACGGGGACAGAGCAGGGCTCCATGCGGTTGAGGTCCTCACCGTCCACTGGCTGGTTGCTGGGGGCTGGATGTGTCCAATTTAATAGCAAGTTCCCTTATAAAAGCGAGGCAGGCCCAGGGATGTAGCTCAGTGGCACTGTGCCTGCCTGGCAAGCACAAGGTCCTGAGTTCAATCCCTGCAATTGGGGAAAATAAAGGGAGGCAGAGGTGTTAGAATCAAGGAAGGGAAAGTGATGATTGTGAAAGGAGAGAGTGAGGGAAAGAGGGATTCTGTATTTTCACTGCTTACCCTGCTGGCTTGAAGATGGATTGAAGATAGAGAGTTGCCATGAGCAAGCTGTAAGGAAAAAAGCAGATTTATTTCTAGAACTTCTATAAGGAACACAGGCCTTACTAATCTCTTGATTTTAGACCAGTGAAAATGGTCAGTTTACAAATTTGTGCTATTTTAAGCCACTAAGTACATGGTAATTTGTTACCACACCATGTCTACAAGCCATCAGCTAGCACCACTGTCACAGAGCATCTGATCTACTAACGTGGGATCCTGCACAGCACTGTCTCAGACCAAAGGCCTCACTCCACAGGAAAGGAGAAGCATCACTGAGCACATGACTGTGGGAGTCACTGTTCCTGCCATACTCCACTCTGCAGAAATTCTGTCTTCGTGGATAGGGACAAGGCCTCTTAAAGGAGAGGACCCTTGCACTATTTTTTTTTTTTTCCCATGGTCTGAGTATACATTATAACATTTTTTTTGCACTTTATTAAATTCTTTTATTGGTACATTGTAGGTATACAACAAAATTACATTTCTCATTGGGAATTGTACCTTTACATAATGCATCTTGGTTCTTGTTTTTTCCCCATTCCTAGCCCTCCCTTCACACCCTCCACCCTTCCCCCTTTACAAAGACTTTATTTCCATTTTTTCCATTTCTCAGCATTTTCCCTTTCCCTTCTTTCCTTTCCCCTGACCCTCCCACTACCTCTACCCCTTTGGACCTTTTCTTCCTATTTTGCATTATCGATTATTCATTCTAATCATTGGTACATTTTAGGTATACAATAGAATGACATTCATCATTGGAAACTTGCACCTTTACATAGTCTCTCTTGGTTCTTATTTTTCACCCTGGCCCAGCCCTCCCTTCACCCCTCCAGTCCTCCCTATTTACAAAGATTTTGTTCCTGTTTTTCCATTTTCTCATATTAATCCCATTCCTTTCTATCCTTTCCCCTAGCCCTCCCACTTCCTTCCCCTTTGCTCCTTTTCTTCCTATTTCACATTACCTATTATACATTTTAGTCCTTATTTACACTTTCAGTTTCTCACACCAGAGAAACCATTCAGTATTTACACATGTGTGTCCTATTTATTTCACTTAAGAGTATCGCCTCAATGTGCATCCACTTAGCTATAAATGTCTCTAATTTCTCATTTTTTATGGCTGAGTAGTACTCCATTTTATTAAAAAACCACATTTTCTTTATCCAGTCTCCAGCTGATGGGCATTTGGGCTGTTTCCAAGTTTTAGCTATCACAAACTGTGCTGCTATGAACATGGGTGCACATATATCACTGTGCTATGATTCTTTTAATTCTTTTGGGAAGATCCCCAGCAGTGGAATAGCGGGGTCAAATGGGATTTCCAGTCCTAGTTCTTTGAGGTATCTCTATATTGATTTCCACAGTGGTTGCACCAGTCTACACTCCCACCAGCAGTGCGGAAGGGTTCCTTTTTCCCCACAGCCCTGTTAGCATTTGTTATTGGTTGATTTCATGATAGCAGCCATTCTTTCTGGAGTGAAGTGGAATCTCAGTGTTGTTTACATTTGCATCTCTCGAATGACCAGTGACTTTGAACATTTTTTCATGTATTTATTTGCTATTTCTACTTCTTTGTCTGAGAAATGTCTGTTCATTTCAGATGCCCATTTTCAGATTGGGTCTTTAAATTTGGGAGGTCTGATCTTTTGAAGTTCTTTATAGATTCGAGATAGTAGACCTTTGTCTGAGGAAGAGCAGGTGAAGATTTTTTCCCACATTGTGGGTTGTCTCTTCACACTGCTGGTGATTTCTCTTGCTGTGCAGAAGCCTTTTAATAAGAAGAGATGCCATTTGTTGATTGTTTGTGCTAGTTCACGGGCAACTGAGGTTTTGTTCATAAAATCTTTTCCTACACTGATGTCTTCAAGGGTTCTACCTAACCTCTGTTCCAATTGGTTCAGAGTTTCTATTTTAATATTTAGATCTTTAATCCATTTTGATTTTAGTTTAGTGCATGGTGAGAGATATAGGTCTAGTTTTAATCTTTGGCAAGTTGAAGCCCAATTTTTCCAGCACCATTTCCACTGAGAAATCTATTTCTTATTTGTAAAACTATAGAATCTGTAGATCTTGGGTTTTAGAGAGGAGAAAATAAGAGTCTCAGTGAAGTTTAATCCACAGCCATTTCTGGTCTCTTTAGATACCTCATGCCAGTAAACATGTAGGCAAATGAAGAATTCCCATCCTGACAGGGGTATTTGGTCCTGATTATCATGGAGAGCCACTGAAATGTAATGAAGTCACAGAGGTGTATTGTTGGCATGGGTTGTCTCTTGGCATGCTCATGCCTAGGTTTAATAGTAAGTGTGAAATTACAGCAACCACAATCTAAAGAACATGGCAACCAGGGCCTCAGACCACTCCATGGTGAAGGCCTCACTATCCTACCAGGAAACTCAGGAGTGGCAGCCTAGGATGAAGTAAATCTAGAATAGGTTGGTAGAGAAAGGAGACCATGAATATCAGTTATATAGTCTTGAGACCAACTATATAATTTTGGGGCTATGTTTTTTTTTCTCTTTTTGTATGTGTCCCCAAGAATTGTGACAATAGAATTTAGAAGAAGCTATATCTGGATGGAGCTAACTTAGTGTAAGAAATAAGTGGGTCTGGGAAGTATAGATATGAACTTTAGTAGATGCTCTGGACCTGTTTGATTTGTATCATGGGACCATGGCTTCCATCTCTCAACTGCTGTGAATGTCAATTACTATTAGCAGTATGCATTCTTTTATACTTACCTTTTGTCTACTCAACATTATAATGATTATATCTTCTCATGTGGTTGTAAGTAGATGCAATTAATTTTTTACTTCTATGTAGCATCCAACTGTATGATATATCATAATATATGAAATCATTCTTCTATTGATGGATCTTTGAATTGTTTGCAGTTATTATTACAAATAATGCCACTATGTACATTTTTTTTAACCTATCTGAATATACACACATGTTTCTATTGGATATCTACTTTGGAATGAAATTATTGGGTCACAGGATATATAAATGTTCTATGATAGCAGATAATGTTAAGCAGTTTTCCAAAGTGGTTTGTGCTCTAATAGGAACTATTTCACAACTCTGTAGGTATAAAAATAGTCTTATGTCATCTTCTGGAAGCTTGTATTGTTTTCTTTTTTACCTTTGTATCAGTAGTCAACTTGGAATGGATTTTTGTATATGATATCTTGCAGGAGTAAGGTTTACTTGTTTTTTTTTGTATTGAAATCAATTGACCCTTTGATTTAAAAATTCATTTAAAAACTTTTTTTTTCCCTTGCTTTCTCCAACAGAGTATTATGTGATGGTTCATTTGTTGGATTTTTTTTCTAATAAAAGAGCTTTCATTTTAAGTAATTAGTGATTTGTCTGGGCCTCTTGTGATGTTAATATTACTATCCTTTTATTCTGAGGAAATGGAAGCTTAGAGAAGTTAATAGGCTCAGCAAACTCACCTTTTGTACTCAGATTCATTTTATTAAGTCCTTAAAGGAGGCAGAAGTTATTTGACTGATTAGTTGATTTATTTTCACAGGTAAAAATACAGAGAGTGATGAGTCAATTCCTACTAAAGATATGTTGTCCTTATGTAGTTCCAGCTCTGGCCCACAGGTGATTTCTTCAGCTCCCACAGTCTTACTCTCATTGCAGCCCAGAGGGATGAAAACAAGAGCATGAAATACATACATCTTATATAAAGGATGTTACTGGGAAATCACATACTTCCACTCATACTATTGGTCAAAATTCAGCTGTACAGCCACACCCACAGTGAAGAGACCCTGGGAAATGGAGTGTTTACTTTAGGTTGCCAGTGCTTCCCTGAAATTTGAAGTCTCCATTACCAAAGAAAAAAAGGAGAAGAAATATTAGAACAGTTGGCCACAGTCATGTATGAGGTTGCAGCACATCTGAGATTCTGGCAGAGGTTTCTGTAACACCCAGCTGTACAGCACAGTACAGCCCTTGAGAGCTAGCTACACCTGACAGTTTGCCTTTTGAAAAGCTTCATGGGATACGTTCTTATCAGAGTTTAATTCTTAGATGTCTCTCCATGTGTGTGTGTGTACAACATTTTATTAGAAGGTTATAAGATGAACTAAATTTATCAGATGAACTAAATTTAGAGACATCACTATTACCAGTGAAAAAGTTTCCAAAGCCTGCTTTAATCCTTCCTCTAAGACTTCACTTAATAGTTTCTTTCTTTCTTTTGTGATTTTTCTCTATCCTCCTTTCCTTCCTCCTTCCCTTGCTCTCTCCCTATTTCCTCCCTACCCTCTTCCCACACTTACCTCTTTCCCCTTTTTTCCCAAAAGTTGCGTTGCCCTAGCATTCCCTCTCCACATCTGACTTTGCACATTTTAACAAGGAATAAGCCAACAATGGTGGGAGTTATGGAGGAAGTGGAAGACAAGTCGAGAGTCAAACTGTCTCTGACTTTTACATATTTTTAAAATTTTTATTATTAGTTTTTATTACACAAGTAATACATGTTCATTGTAGAAAAATTAGAAAACAGAAAAGAAAAAAGAAAAAATAATCACCCATAATCCCACTACCCATTGATAACTGCTATTAACATTGTAGTGTAGGTCCTTCTAGCTTTCTTATGCATATATATAGGTATATTTATATATAATTTTCTTTTTTACAAATATTGTATCATACTATATATATATACTATTTTATAACATGTTTTTTCATTTACTGTATATTGTGAATATCATTGTTTATTCCCTGAAAAAATTATACAGATATTACATGCTCATTGTGGAAAAACTAGAAATTACAGATATGCAAAAAGAAAAAGTAATTGCTCCAAATCTCACCTCCCAGAGATAAATGCTGTTATGCTTTTGGCAATTATCTTTTCAGACCCCTTAATGCACACATCTATATATATGTTTTTAAAAAGGGATCATACATTAATACTGTTTTGTAACTTCCTCTTTTTCATTTCCTAATAGTTTGTACATTTCATTAAATATACATGACACTTATTCTAATTGGTCCTCAGTATTCCACTGAAAAGACATACCATATTTAACCAAACATATAATGTAGGCTTATTTATATTTTTCTACTTTTCAAGTAATGCTGCTATAAACATCCCTTCTTGCATAATTTTTTGAATAATGAATAAAGGCATCTTAGCTAATTTTTTTCTGTGGAATTTCTAAAAGGAGAGTTTCCAATAAGGTGGAATTACTGGACATGCAGAAAAACTATAATGCCAAAACATTTTTCAGAAAGGTTGAATCAACTTATGGTCCTGTTGAATACAAGACAACATTCATTTCCATCCTTTCTTGTTGTTTTTGGGAAGTTTAATTCTTTAGGCTCTCTGCCTTTTTGAGTTTTAAAAAGGAGTTTACCATATTAATCTGTATTTTTATTACTCATACATTTAAATGCTTTCACAGTTATTATTATTGAATTATTTTAGGTTGTGGTGCACTATCACATTATGCCCATAATTTTATTTTCTACTAGAAAGTTTGATTCTTTTTGAGTCATAAAATATAATTTGTCATTCATTCTCTTTTCACTCATTCAATAAATACGTTTTCAGTATTTGCTTTGTGTCTAGTGCTGTATTAGGCTTTGGAGAAACAATAAGCAAAATAAACAATGCTTGTTGCTCTGTACTTCCTGTTTAGGGGGATGAACAAACAAGAAATAATGAAAAAAGTACGGGGACTTTTATGGAAACTTTCTCAGAGTAGTGATTTTTTAAGCTCTTCATATATGTTAGAGATCTGGACTCTTTGTTCCGTCTGCCACAAATATTATTTTTATTAATGTGGTTTATTTTTTATTCTGTAGGAGTTTTTCATTTTTAATTGGTCCAATCTATTCGTCTTCTTTTTATAGTTCCTTCCTTTAGAATTATGATTGAAAGGCTTTTTTCCCCCTCACTAAAATTATGTATTGATTCATGTTGCCTGCTAGTCCTTTCATGTGTTTATTTATGTACTTTAACATTTAAACCTTTATTTCATATAAAATTTATTTTGATGAAAGTTATGAGGCATAGATCTAATATTTCTCCCACAATAACTTAACCTGATAGTCTAACCTTTTATTAGGTTTGAATTGTCATCTTGTAATATACTCAATTATTTTATGTACTTCGGTCAATCGTGGACTGCATATTTAATTCTAATGATTTATTCTGAGGCTAATAGTACTACTGCTTTTTCTCATTCTATCTATAGTTACCTGAAAGTTGAACATTTTCTGATGAGTGATATTCTAGAATACAAAGAAACAGTAGACATGGCTTAGGCATAGCAGCAAGGGGCAGAAAGTTAGGGTGGATGATAGCCTTAATCCTTTCAATATTGAGACTTTCAGAGTCCAAACTTTCAGACAGGATCATTATTAATCCAGTCCATTTGCTTGCTTTCTGAAATAAATTATGAGCTTTTCTACTCCTGTGCATTTATATTTTTTCCTCTCACTCCAAAGCATAGCTTTCAGTAGGTGGCAGTATTGCCAAACACTGAGCATCCCAACTGTTTTTACAGGAGCATGGAGGAACATAATGGTCAACAAGATTTTAGAATTTCCCCAGGAGCATTAATTAATTAGAGGAGGCAGTTAGGGCTGTGCTACTTTTAAAACTTTGTTTGTAGCCATGAACAAAAGCACAACCAGAAGTTTGTAGTTAGTTTTACACCTAGATGCATATGAAACATTACTGGACAGATATTTAAAATGACACATTGGCATCATGGGCATTTTATCTGTCTTATCTAAAAGTCCCTTCAGACCTAGTCCCTTACTGATTTAAAGCCCAAAAATGTAGTTTTAAATGTGGAGGGATTCAGGTGACTTTAACTTTTGTTATATGGTAATATTTTTCAAATTTACCGCAAAGAGCATGTATTGCCTTTGTAATTTGGAAAAATAACAACGGGGGTTATGAAAAATTGGGGATAAAATGTGTGAGTGTGTGTGCCAAGTTTATGTCATTTTCTGTTTCAAGCATGTGGGTACACATGAGAAAGCAGGTTCACTGTTCTCTTCTTACCTTTAGAGACCAGCTCATGGTTAATTGCTAATCTCAAAGTAAATTCCAGCAAGAAGCTAAGACAGCAGAACTTTATCTCATGGAACTATACCTGAGAAAGTCCTTGGAAGGTGGAAGGAGAGAGGGGCAGCTCCGAACGGGTGCACTGGCATATCTAATGGGAGATGGCGAATCACCTATTGCAACTATGAGCCAATGTAGATTATCAGAGCTTTCAGTACTAAATGTAATTTTAGGACCTGCTACTGAAAGAATTATCTATAAATCTTGGAGTATGTCTGTCTACAGGAACTATAAAATTGATCGAAGTCTGGAAAACAGGCACTATGAATAAAAGATAAGGTGGCTGAGTATATTATCTTTGATATGGAAAGTCTGGCTAGGTAGACAAATTCCCATCTCCATGAATAGCTACTACAGCCTTCGCAGACATGGAGGTGAGATCTGAATTTATTAACAGTCTTTAGGTGTACAGAGGACAATTGCACATAAGATGTTACTTTCACACTGAGACTAAGGCGAGAGTGAACTCAAATTAACCAAGCAAAAATGATTTAGGTTAGGCATTTAGAAGAACCTGCTGAATACAAGGTTGGGCTTATCAATTAATAACTTTTCATGGATTAGTAGGAACAAGATTGAGGCTAAAGTTTCAATATGGTCAAAGGTAGGAGAAGGCAGAGACAGGAGCTGAGAGCATGCCGATTTGGCCTACTTCATAATCTTGAAAACAATGGCCCTTAAATGAAATAACATTCCAGATTCAGGAAAGAATATTAAGCTTTAATTAAGCTTGATTTATGAAAATCAACGTCAGCAGACCAGGTGGGTCTGGGAATAGTTACTTGTAATAATATACTATCACAATTGTTTTACAAGTTTTTGATTTAGAAAATTGTGATTTTTCTCATATAGCTTGTCAAGGATACTTCCTTTTGTGAAGCCAGGCATACCTGGAACCTTGCATCAAATACCAGTTTGTTGGAACACAAGTGTGGAAGTCAAGATCAAGGCCAAGTAACAGCTGGTGTAATCAAAGTAGGGACCCGCGTGACCTTTTGAGATGTCTTCTAGTGTTTTAATTCTTTTACTTGCACATCAGATACTAGGGAGAATTATCTGAAACTGCCATTTTTATAGATCGAAACAGTCAAATATCAGCAATTTCATATAATTCAACCTAATACAGTAATTATTCACTTTCTTCATCTCCATTTAAGCTAAAAATATTTAGTTTTTAGGTAACGATATTAGTGTATATATAAATGCCTTTGCAGGGTTGAGATTGAAGGTGAGTTTTATGTAAACCACATGTGGGCATTAGGGTCATACTTCTGTTGTGCTGGACACTGGTGCCTCCTGTCCAGATTTTCAAGATTTTTCAAACTATAGAAACAAGAAAAGAAGTGCAAAGACTTGATATCTCCAACCATGGGAAATTCTGTCTGGAAATGGGTCAAAGGAGAAATGGGAAATATAACAAAATTTGAATCATATTACAAGTTTAGTGGAGGAAGATCACAACAAAGCTGTGAGCAGAAAAACAAAGCACGTGACTTCCTCCTTTCTAAAATATAATATTGCTTAATGTGTCCTGCTTTCAGTATTCTAAGCATAAGACAAGACACCAAGTACACATTGGAAAAGTTATATCTGCATAGTCATCTAAAATGAGACAAGCTTAGCTTAACTAAAAATTTTTATTAATAATGTAAAATGTTAATATTTTTACGATCTGAGCTAATTCCAGCATGCCCTATGAGTTTAACACTATGCTGATGTGCAGACACCATGCTTCAGATTTCAATTAGAACAAAATGTGATAATATTCAATTTTACATTTGAGGGTAATTGTATATGTTACTACACCATTTCCTAACTTCATTCTCCAAGAAGCTGAAAAGACACTGTTGGCTCAAAGGGAAATTAGTCTCCCATAGCATTGTGCGAAGGTATTAGGATTATTGTGTATTTACAAAATGTATTTCTCATATATGATTTTTGTTGTTATAAATTAAGATGGTATTTTTATGTTGAAGGTTTAGATTCTGACAGAATGGAAGACTAAAGGTAAATGAGTGCAGAGAAAGAAATAAGTGAGGTGGTATATGTTTGGTTACATTATTTCTAATGATATTGATATATTGGAATTTTAAAACACAATTTTGTAGTTTTAAGTAGATTTCTATGTTTAAAGACTTCTTTCATGTATGATAAGGTGTTAACATGAGATCAGCAGGAGCTATAGATATAGATATACTATTATATGTGAAATAATTTTTCTCTATAATACACTTAAAAATCTTTAAATAATTTAAAAATCATAATTCTTGCATCTGTCATGGCATGGTTTGGAGCAGACATGCACAATGTCAACTTTAGAAATCCTTTAAAAAAACAGCCTGCTTTTTAAATCTGTTCTTTTTTCCTTGATGGCAGCTGCTTTCAAGTGTAAAATCATTGAAAAGGGCAGGGAGAGGCGGGTAAAAGTAATAAGGAATCATAGAAAACTTAGTCAAAAATCAATCACTGTGTGGTTCAGCTGTCTGGAGGTTCTCAGGTTTCGTGATTCTTTATTCAGGTGTTCCCAGTGGTGGGTTTCCAGGAGAAATCGCTTAGCTTGAGACGAGACAACACAGCCCAAAGAACCTTCTCTTCCGTCTTCTAACCAAGGGGTAGGGAGTTAGATTCAGAAGGCTGCTGTCATCTGTGGTGAGACAGAATGTACATAGGAATGAGTAACAGATAAAACAAGCCACTTTTAAAAAGTGGCTTTAAAAATCCACCATTCTTTAAACCAGTGTTCCACAGTCTCAGTACTGTTGACTTTTTTAAATTTTCAGTACTGGAGATTGAATCCAAGGCTTTCACACTGAGCTATATACCCAGTCTTTACATTATTATTATTATTATTATTATTATTATTGTTGTGTGTGTGTGTGTGAGACCTCTCTAAATTGCTCAGGCTTGATTCAAACTTGTGATCTTTCTGCCTCAGCTTCCCAGAGGGCTCGGATTACAGATGTAGGCTACCATGACCAGCCACTCTTGGCCTTTTGGACCCAATAATTCTTTGTTGTGCGAGGCTGTCCTAGACATTGCAGCATGGTTAGCAGTCTCCTTCTACTCATTAGGATGCCAAGAGTACACCTCTTCCAGTTGGGACAACCAAAAATGTTCCCAGCTATGGAAATGCCAAATGCCTTAGAGAAAGGGCAAAACAGCTCAAGGTTGAGAATCACGCAAGTTGGGAGCAGTAGGTAGTTTATTAGAAAGATTTCATGCCTTGGAGTAAAGTTGGCATGTTTTCTAAACTCACCTCTGCTATTTACTAATTCTGTAACTTTGAACATGGAACTCAAGCTCATTAGGCTTCAGTTTTCTTGTCTGCAAATTAGAGTTTTATAATTAAAATTACTCACCTTAAGTGAGGATTAAATGAAATAATCTATGAAAAATATTTAGGTTGGACAGGTTGCTTAGTGCCTAAAATGGAGGAAATTCTCAGTTTAAAATATAGCTATTATTACCTAAGAAAGCATTTAGATCATATAGCTATCATTAATTATTTTCCTTTACATAGGACCATTGTCTTGGCTCCGTTTACTTCCTTCATAACTCCAGAAGAAATTACAGCTATTCTTTATTGAATCTTTTCCTAACATTTTCTGTAGGTTTATGTGCATAAAGGCATTCAGAGATGGATGATAACTGCTGAATTCATAAGTTTTGATTTGAAATTTTTAGCATGTTAACAAGTAGAGGAAGAAATAAACCAGTAAACCAAATCTGGTTTAATGAGTTGGGTTTTTAAAAAAATAGTATGGTATTAAAGAGAGGCAGGATAGGAAGATCCTGTTGGAGTAGAATTGGCCAGTGTGGATCTCGTGGCTGGAGAAGAGCTATTGCATAAGGAAATAAGCCAGAAATTACCATCTGGTGAAGTGCTAGTACATGGCCTCAGTGGGACAAAATGGCTGGTTGGTACTGGTGACTATTAGGTACCCTTTCTGGGCTAGGATAAGAGACTCTTTTTCCAAACTAATCTTAAATGAGACAGAACCTTGGCAAAAGTCATAGAATCAGTAGTTAGATGAAGATATGGATAGAGTGAAGGAAGTCTCTTACCTCAGTAGAACTAGTTTTTTCTACAGAGGGTTTGTTTTTCTTGATTACTGAACCTAGATGTTCTAGAAACTGTCAAGAACAAAAACATGTCCTGGCTTTCTGGTCTTCTTACATAAGTGGTGTCATCCAAGTGCCTGGTATTTTCCTTTCTGTCCCTAAGGGCTTTCATGTGTCATATTTATTTGTAAGTGAATATCATCCACCAAAGTTGACAGTGGTCCTTGGAAAGATGCATTATGCTATATATCTAGGAAGAACTTGAGACATAAGTCCATATCAGAGGAGAAAATGGATGCCCCAATTGTGCATGTCAAGCAACTCAGACACAGTCCCCTCTCCAGTCTCCACAAATTAAAACCCTCTCTCAAAACTTAAATTCTGTTACCATGGAGAAAAACAGGGCTATTCTCATCATTTCCAGAGTGGAAAATAATTTACAACAATCTGGGCATCAACATTTTGAGAGCTAAAATTAGGACTTTTTTTTATAGTTAACTTGTCCCCAAAGAGTTAAGTCACTGAAAAGAATGTCAGATACTATACATGAGCCTTTTTTCTCAGGAAGATCTCTCAGAGATGAATCATGATATATTTGGAACAACAACAACAACAAGAAATCATACCTTACTTTTTCATCATTTCTATGACTTTTATTTTAATCACCCAGTGATCAATAAACTTAACCTAATTGGATATGGCAAATATATAGCATTCTCTGAAGGGTAAAAATTTTTACCTTCAGCCTCTTTTTGGATACTGACTACTTTACTGAAACTTAAGTTTGCTAACAATTTGATGCTTTCCTGGAACAGAGTCATCAGAACTAGGAAGGCATTTATTTATATTTCTAGATTTCTAAGACTCAGAAGATCTATTTTCAAAATTAATTTACCTCCTTCCCTTTCACCATAAATAAAACAGATTGGAGGAGGGACTTACCTGATCTTTATATACAATAAAATATAATTGTGATGTTTATTGTTCCTACTCCATGAGAAAATATATCTTCCAATATTGTATTTACAAAAGAAACTACAGTGTGTATATTTTAGTCATATATTTAGTCATATTCTCTCTCTTTAAAATATTTGAAAAGCACAAAGGTATTATATAGATATTATTAGATTTTATTATGACTGCATCTTGTATCTGTTTATTCATTACAGTGAGTCAAAAAGCTTTTCAATGTACTGCCTTTTACAGTATTGAAATTCTTCTTTGTCTGATATATATATGCATATGTGTGTATATGTGTATATGTATTTTATACACACATATGCAGCTATGTATGTATACATGACACATACATATATACAGGATATGTATGTTGAATACGCACACATATATTTCACTCACAAGTGGACAGGAGTTGATGGGAAAGTGATTAAGCAAAGGGCAGGCACCTATTAAGGATGACTGATGGTTTGGGGCAGCATTGTTGTGCATTTGTGACACCTTTGCCCAGCCAGGAGCTTGTCTGATCATCACCTAGGGCCAAGGAGACACGGAAGCTCAAAAATTCTTGGCAGAAATTCAGAGCAGTTTTCCACACCATAGGAAGCTGACACCTGCAGTAAACACAGAAATTTACCAAGCAGCAAGTATGCCTGGAATGGTTTGAAGTTGACTCAAGTAAGGATGTCTCCACATGGATTGAAATCTTGCCTCCAAAGGGCTGTGCATGGGATGTGAGCATAATTGAACATTTTCCCACTTGTTCTAAATTTTCTGGGGTAAACCACTTGAACCTGTTGGGTAATCTTTGGTCTTTTATTGTGAATGTTCATTGGATATGGTGTATTAATTAAAACTTGTAGAGCATCTTTTATTCAAAATGCACAATCTCAGGAAAAATGTAACCAAGGACAGCTTTAAATGTGAAAATGAAAAGTGGAAAAGGGAAAGAGAAAAGGAACGCATAGGAGAAAGTGAAAGAAAGAGCAGAAAATTCAACCATCAGCGAGTATGAACCTTACTCATTTGATGTTTAATACTAAAACTAGGGACATTGGAATCTCCTAAAACACAAAGATACCATTTCTCTATTGCTTAAATTTATTTTGTTGCTAAAAGATTTCTTATGTAAATGAAATGTTGAGGAAAAAAGAACATGAAAATGAGAACTTTTCAAATAATAAGCTGAGTTTAAAGCTGTGCACTCAGATATAATTAAGAGAAATGCTCATAGTGAAATAGTAGTTACAAGTTTCTATTCCAGGGAAAAAATAAAACATAAAAAAAAATTAAAAAGAGAGAATTTCATTGAACTCAGTGGTTCTCAAACATTAGCTGCCTCAGCATCATCTGAAGCCATGTTAAAGCACAGATTGTTGGCCTCAACTCCAGAGTTTCTGGATTAGTAGGTCTGGGGTGAAGCCAGAGAATCAGCATTTCTTACAAGTTCCCAGACATGCTGATGCTGCCAGTCCTGAGACCACACACATTGAAGACCTGGTAAGTGCCAGGCTTTTTGTTGGGTACTGAGGGTAATACCAAGATGGGTCCTAATAGAAAAATGATCCCTGCTGCAAAGATCTTTCTGGGAGCAACTATGAATCTTCATTAAAAATGCCATTAGAGAAACACAAATATAGTGCTATGAGAGTTCCTATGGGGGAGGTATAAAGGGAGATTTAGAGAAGAAGAAAAATGTTTATAGAAGATCCCTGGAGGCCTTGATGATCATTCTGGGCTACAAGGAATGAGGAGAGCTTGAATGATGTTGAAGGGGGTAGGCATTCTGATAAAGGGGACAATATGAACAAAGATATGGAAGTGATCAAAGGCAGCTTAATTTGGATCCAAGTAAAGAAACAGTCCAGTCTGCCTGGAATGAGAGTTTTTGAAGGAGGGGATGGTTCAAAACAACCACTTAGAATTCCCTAAATATGCTTCACTTTCCCTTGCCTCCCTTCTATTACACATGCCATTTCTCCTTTTAAGGAGAGTCCTCCCTCCTTAGACAAGGTAATCTTCTCTTCAAGATTAGCATAAACATTTTTTTTTCTGCAAAGTCTTTTGTGATTGTGCCATGCATCTGCATTCTTTCTTGTTCCCATCCCTAATATAAACAATTGCTACAGCACTTAGCACATTATCTACATCCAGTCCTGTCTTCTCACCACTCCATAAACAACTCTTTATGAAAATCCTCATGCATTTACCCTTGCTGCCCCAGCTCTTCATCTCCCACTCACTTCCAACCTTCCTTAACCAGACTTCTATGCCCCAAATTTCACATCAGTGGTTTATGCCAACAATGCCAATGAGTACCTTGCTGCTAAATCCTGTGCACACTTTCAGTTCTTATCCACTTTAATCACCCTGTACTTTTAGCCATTCCTTCCTCTCTGCCTTGGATTTATTTCATAATGCTCTTCTGATTTTCTTCTCAGGCCCCTTTGTAAAGTATATTTTTCTCCCTCCAACTTTAACTTTTGGTATTCCAGGGCTCTTTTTTATCTGCACACTCCCCATGGGTGGTCTCTTTATAGGGCTTCCATTACAACTGTGATGAAGATCTTAGATCTGTTTCCAGTCCTCCTAGGTCACATCTCACCTTGGCATCATTAACAACTGAGCATTGCTTTTGGAATTTCCCCATGTCTCAAACTTTAATTTTTCTCTACCCCTACTGCTTCTCTTCTCGTCTCCCTAATTTAACTACTGACACCATCATTCCCTCACTTTTCAATTCTAAACCCAGCTTCATTCTTGATGCTGTGTTTTTCTTGATGCACCACATCTAGCTGGCCAGATCTTCCTCTCCAATCCCTTGGCTTCAGGTGAGATCTTAGGCACTTCTCACCTGGATACTGCACCTGTCTCCCAACTGAATTCTTCCAACAGTGGCAAGATAAAATCCAACTATCTTAATTTGCCTTACAGGGCACTTGAAGATATAGCCCACCTACCTTTCTCATCTCCCTTAAGCCTCCATATAACCACTTTCCCAACTACTGGAGACTACAGTTCATAGAAATACCCTGCTCTTTAATCTCCCCATGTACCTGCTTACATCCAGAGTCTTCTGCTTAGCCTGTCTTTCTTCATCTTTTTTTTTGGTAACTCTTACTTATTCTAAAAAATGTTAGCTCAAAAACTTTCAAAAAGCAAGCTCAAAAAATCCTCCATTTTCAACTCAAATCTGGGTTAGGTGACAATACACCATGCTCTTGTAGTCACCTATGTCTAATTGTTATGGAATTATTTATGTTCTAAATGCTAATTCCTGTGTCTTTCTAATAGTGTATGTGTGTGTCATTTTCAGAATTCACTTGTCTAGCCTGAAGGCTCACCACAACCTCTATGAGGGGAGGCATGTGCCACCTGGAAGAGCTTCCCAGGCGATTCTATCTGATTCTGCTCTGGTGAGAGACAGCCTCCAGGGCAAGAGGCATCCTTAGCACCTGGCACAGAATTTGTAACATCACAGGTGACTCTTACTTGTTGGATGATGATAGGGCAATGCATTTTGGGCAAAGAGGTCTGTTTTTCTTCCATTAGAAATTGAGTAGACATTTAACATTTGTGAGTAAGGACTCAGGATAATCACAGCAATGCACTTGAAAGTAATGTGTGGATTAGATTGGAGGAGAGCAGGGGGATTATATATGTTATACTAAATCCTGGACAAAAGCTTGCACAGCTACTGGTAAAACCGCCCAGAATGACCTTCAGATACCAACTGGAAGCTTAGGAGGGCTTCATATGAGATGGTGAGGAAAGAAACTAAAGGGTCAGTTCTAGGACAGAGGGTGGCCTTACTCCAAGTATTCTTTAGCCAAGTGTCCAAGGACTCTTCTGCCTGAGTGGCCAGTTTGGTTCTGGATATGGGGTCCAGATTGGATCAAGTAGGGGTGTAAGTCTGGGACAGGTGGTGGTAGACTCAATTTAGTCTGGAGTAGTGCTGTTCACAGGAGGGCACCCATTCAAGAAGATTCAATTTCTGACTTACCTACTTCCAGACAAATTCTAATGCATGGTATCAACAACCAAATTCTATGCAAGAGTGAATACACCAACACACTCCACAGCAGTCATTAAGGCAGAATTTCAGAAAAGGTGCAACTGTCTTTCAGGCTCAATTTATTTCTGCAGATTTGTTTTGTTTTACAACAGAGTCCATTTAGAAGGTGCTTGTCCTTCACTTTCCAATCTCCTTTTAGCCTTTGTCAGTAACCTTGTGGGTTGTCCACAGGTGGTTCCATTTATAATCCATTTGACACAGCAAGATGATCATAATTAATGAAGCTCCCCACAGCACTGCCAGTGACCCAGAACCTAGGACAGGAAGGACATGGCAGCAGGGGAAAGAGCAGCAGGTTGGGAGTCAGGAGACCTGGATGGTGCCTGGAGCCTGCTGGGGATCTGCAGTAGGATAAGGGTTTCCTGCTCTTCTTTTGTGCCCTTGTTTGTCTCCAGTCTTACACTGGAAGGATGAGAAAGAAAAGGCCTCATCTAAGACAAAGGCCAGAAGGCTAACCATTAAAATTCCTGCCCTTGGCTACCCTCCTTCTCCACTGAAAATCAATTTAAACTTTTATTAATTTTTAATGTATGGGAAAGGGGAAAGATATGGTTAAACCTTTAAATGCTCAAATGAACACAGAACAGTTTTTGAGTGAGAGCTAAGATGGAGCCTGGAGAAGAGGGGAGTCTGAGTTGGCAGGTGTGCATATGGTCAGAGCTCAAGGTAGGAAACACCAGGACCAGTAGTGGCATCTCTGCTGTACCCCCGTCTTTGTTCCAAACACTCATATAAATTAAATAAAGAGAAAAAGGAAATAAAAAGCAAGAAAGAAACAGATGGCTTTCAGTAATGGATTTCAACTAGTAAAAATCATGTTTTGACAATAAAATTCTACCAAAAAGAGCTAGAATAGTTTTTTCACATTTCACCCCACACCATTTCCTGTGCCTATTACTCCAGACCTGTATAATAAATAAATCACCTGAATGGAGAAGCCTCTGTGGTCTATCCTGGTCTATGCAGTTCAGGAGAAGAATCTGGATGATTTGTTCATTAAAATGGCACCATAAGCATCCGTCAAAAAACATTCTTGGTGGGACCCTAGGAGCCCTGTACTCCTGCTTCTGGTCCTCTCTAGAGCAGCCAGTCCCCTTCCCCACCACTCAGCTCACAGTACGCATGCTGGGGTGCATGTTCAGCATGTATGCAACAGAGATGGATCTGCATATGCTCGGGGTTCCATTTCTCCCCCACTTGAAGAAACTTGAATTTCCAACAATATATTACCTTCCCCTTTTTACTATTATTAAACTGTTATTGTACCACTTCCTTCAGAGTAAAACGTCCTTGTATCTCCTAGCTTTCTCCTTTTCATTCCCCAAGTACATGCAGGGATTGAGACATGCTTTCATTTTTGGGTGAAAATTCTCTTTTCACTTACACTTTCCCTCACTATTCCAATGTCTATTATTCTTTTTCTATTTTAAAATGTATTTAAAATTCGAATTACTTTTTTTTACTAAAGTAATATGAAGTTATATAAAATATATATATTATACTTTTTATGATTATAAAAATGACCTAAGTAAGATGAAAATTTTGATTTTTCCCATTAAAGTGTAGTTCAAACCTACTGCATGAATTGTTGTTACTACATGTGGAGGAAATATTTAAGAAGGTCTGATTTAAAGATAGGTTTTTTGGTATCTGTGAAATTCAGGCTGGGGGATACTGGGCAGTGGAGTGGGAGGTTCAGCACCCCTGGGTACTGTTGTGGAGCTTGGGGAAGACCTACCAAATGCATTTAGACCCTGGGAATCTTCAGACAAGATTACCAAGTCTGAAGTCCCAGGAGCCAATGCTGTGAACCGTAGGCCTAAGGTCAGCCTTACTTGGACTGAGCACTCAGTCTCCCCAGGGTGAGTAGCAGCAGGGATTATTCTATTCTATGTTGATTTGGCATTCCCCTGAGCAAAGCTGGGTGGGTCAGGTGATAAATAATACTAGTGATGACAGTAGCAACAAAAATACAAGACTGCATCTGTCAAGCATTTGCTCTCTGCAAGGTCAGTAGTAGGCATATGAGCATTGCTTCATTTAATCCTTACAACCACCCTCTGAAGTAGGTAAAGCCACTGTCCCCTTTTCAGAGATGAAGTAACTGATATCTTCAGAAGTTAAGCACTTGCTCCAGAGTGCAAGGTGTGGGGTCAAGACAGCATTTGGACTCAAGGCTGACCTTAGTCCAAGGCAATGAGTCCTAAATACCATGCTTATTTCTAGTAACAATCTTCTAAGCTGTGATTGGAACAATCTCTCATTACAAACAGGTTGTCTACTTTTTTTGAATACTACAAAGCACTACACCTATGACTCAAGCCAGCTGGCCTTGGCAACCAAGCTCATCTAGGGTCACACACATTTCCCTGATGTACCACATCCCCTGCCTCTTTTCCTGACCCCCAGCCCATGCAGTTCGGCCTCACTGCCCTCAGCCTCTTTGTCTGGTGTTCTCATTTCCACCTCTCCACCTTCTGCTGAGCTGCTTCCTGAGCCAAGAGGCACTTTAGCTCTGCTGCCAAATTCTCTTCTTCCCCTCCTCCTCACTCTCAGGCAAGCAGCACCCTGTCCTGCTTTGCTCTGTAGAAACAAGGGAGTTTCTTTCTTGCTTCTAAAAAGCCTTTCCTGACTCTCTATGTAGCACTTTCTGAAGCTGATGCTTTCCCGTGGGTGCTCTAGCTACATGTGCTTAAAGAAAGTGCTTGCTGTTCGTTTGTTTGTAACCATTCTTAGTCCAAGGGCTGCAAGGTTAGGTGTAGATTTGACAAACATTTATTGTTTAGGCCAGTGTTATTTTACTATGTCTCAGGCTCTAGATACTGGGGATATGAGAGTTAACAAAGGTGTAGAGAGGGCTTTCCTTCATTCTGCTGCAAATCCCATTTCTGTGCTGGGATGTGTACTCCTAGGCTAGCTCTGGAGATGGGCTGCCTGGGTTCACTCCTAGATTTTTCCTCTTACAGTCTGTGTGATTTTGGATAAGTTGAAAAACCTCTCTCTGTCTCAGTTTCCTGTAAACTGGGAAACAGCAATAGCATTTCCTTCAAAGCTGTTATAAGAATTAAATAAGGGGGCTGAGGATATAGCTCAGTGGTAGAGCACTTGCCTAGCACCACAAAATAGTACAAAAAATTAAGTTAATATAGTAGGGGCACATTGTAAGTTCCTAATATATGTTAATTGTTACTATTTCTGTTTAGATAATTACACATGTGGATGGCAGAGATCTTCCTTTCCTAAATCTCCTCTACTAGGCTATAAAGCTCTTAAAGGCAAGGGCCAAGTCTTCGGTCCTTCTGTGTGACTGCACCTGATGTAGCATGTGACAGGCCCCCAGTCTGGAGACAGGGAGGGGGCAGAGAAATCTGCTTCCAAGTCAAAGTGTTTCTTGGCCCCCTTCAGAGCACCTGAGAGACACAGGTCTCATTATTACATATTTTCAAAGAAAGACAAATGTAAGCTCAATACCTTCTACTGTTATAAAGTAAAAAAAACTTGCTTTAATTTCTCCAGAAACAAGCCCCATGTTTATCATGTTCAAAACATCCTCACCTCAAAGAGAAATGATGAGACTTACCTTGATTTTTCAATGGTAAAGGCATAGTTTCCCTGAGTTTGCTTAAAAGGTTTTTCATTTCACGCATGTCTCTGTAAAATTGATAAAAACAAAGAATAATCAGCTGAGAACGCTCAAAATAAAATCTCAAAGACTGGTCTATGAGACAAGTGAAGGCTAGGATGAGATTCTGTGCCTAATTGTACTAGCTCTAGTTTCCAGTAGGCAAATATTGAATTTATTTTGTTTTTATGAGAAAAAGTCTGAGCTGTGTTGGCCCTGGAAGGAATGACAGAGACTAGCAAACATTTCCATCAGGGCTTTCTCCTGCAGGAGCCTCCTCCTGACCCCTGAGCAGACCTGCTGAGACAAGAAAAGACCCTTTGGTAATGAGGACGGTACTTCAGATTTACAGGGAGAGGCCAAGAACACACAACTGGAGCAGCGGGCTCTGGGGAAAGCCAAGGCTGAGGGATGATGCCACCAAGGCTGTGATCAGAGACCATGGTGCCTATGCAGGTCCTCCACTGCTGCCTGCTTGGATTTAAGTCTTTCCTTACAATTGGATTTCAGCATAACACATATGTTAAATATTTATGAGTACCAGTGCTAGCAAATTGAATGATATGAAAGTGATAAATTCTAAGCCTCCAGAAAAGAGCTTCCCATGGTGAGAGAGAGAAGGATGAAGAGGGAGAGGGAGAGGTAGACAGGGAAGAGGAGGTGGGGAGAGGCAGGAAGGGGGGAGAGGAGAGAGGGAGGGAGGGGAGAGAGAGAGGGGGGGAGAGAGAGAGAGAGAGAGAGAGAGAGAAAAGAGAGAGAGAGAAGAGGAGAGGAGAGGAGATCTCCCTGGGGACCTAGTCTGTCTTTCCTGGCTTCCTGATGCCTCAACCCATGGCAGACAATACCACTGCACATTTCCAACATCTTCCTTTATCTTACAGGGCATATGATCATGAAACCCCAGGACTGTGGAGCAGGCAGCTGTCTTAGCGGCTTCTAAACTAGCATAGTGGGAGAGCTGCCTTTCCCAGCCCTGGGGAAAGTGGTTCACATACAAATTCAAATGGTCATACAATGAGGATTCAAGACATAGTGATAGATTCCCTCTAAAACAGAAAAAAAACCCCAAAACCAAGACATATCTTTAATTAACTACAGAATGGACAAGCATTAGCAGGCATCATGATTTAAGAAACTTTTGAAGGGAAAATTCTAAAGTTGAAAAACTTTTTACCCACTAATTTATTTTTCTTCTGGCATTTGAAGAAAGAGAGGTGGCATTTAATTTTAAGTACAAAATCTTTCAGTCTATTTTATAAAATACAACTGTTTGTTGAACATGGTTCCAGAGCCACTGTCTTTAGGGAGGCCAATGACCCCTTCTCAAGAATATGGACTAGGATGTAAAAAGGAGCTCAGGTGTCAGGAACTGGTGATTTGAGAAGGAAGGGAAAGCAGCCTGGAGGGCCTGTAGAAACGTTGCTGTGAAAACATTAGGAATACTTTCCCAGATGAAGTCAGAGACTGAGGCAGGTGAGGGAAGCAGCCCACCCTACCCCCGCCCCACTCCATAAAGTACTCGGAGCACATATGGCTTCATGGGAGATCTGCAGGTAGGTAAGGCAGGAAAGGATTAGGAATGCGCTACTGGGATTGTGGCACAGTCTTCCCAGAAAGCAGCAATTGACACCTGAAGAACCGGCTATGCCCCAGCCCATTTGGAGAGATCCAGGTACAGTTGGCTTTTTGATGGGGCCCAGACATCAGTATTTTTAAAAAACTCTCCTAGTGAGATAAATGCAGAGCTGGGTTTGAGACTCACTGACTTCAGGCTAGAGAGCCAGGGAAAGCCAAGGAAGCTGCATCCCAGGTGTCCTGTGCCTGCTTCACCCAATCTATCCCATCTCTGTCTGGAATGTGGACTTCCAGTCTGAGCAGAAACACTGCTGCCTCTGTGGGCTGTCCTACCCTATGCTTTTTGCATCCACATCTTGCTTTTTTAAAGCTTATGAGCCATGGCTATAGCTCCTATGCAAGGTGTCTGAAAAGGAAAATGGCTTTACTGATGAATTCTGCCCTGATTGTGGCATTCTGGCAGATATATCTCCCCTCCCCCACTGGGAGTTTTCTATTTTATAAACTAAGACAAACCATTCCTTCATAATTTGTCTATAATTCTATCAAACAGCCAAACAGCTTTATTGTTTGAATTCTTGGATATCCAAGCTTATAAAATTCAAGTTTATTAATAGGACATAATTACCACATGCTCCAATTTTCTATAAACACAGAAATTCAGTAATTATCTATAGAATTATATTACTCTCTGAAAGTATAACCACAATGGCTATAATTGTCATTGTGTGTTACATTTCTAAAAATAAAGAATAAAATGTTCATTGTTTCATCAATGAGTCAGAATTGCCCAGTATTCACTCAGCTGCTTTGGACCAGCTCTGAGGACGTTAGTAGCAAATATCAGATGAAGACCTTATCTTTCTTCCTCACAGAAAGTCATTTTTAGCACCTAGATGGGACATAGCACTGATTAGTAATTATTATTGCCTTCTTTTCCCAAATAAAATAGAATCACCACAGAATATCTTCTCCAGAAGGAAACTCCCTCTCTAGGAGTGAGCTACTGATACTAACATAATGCATTGACTCACTTTGACCACTAAGGGGCCATTAGCTACGTTCTGGGACAGAAAGGGAAGAAACTTCTTGAGAAGCCCTCTGTGAACCACACTGAATGCTAAGCCCTTACCCGGCAGCAAAGCAGGCCATTTTCAGTACGTGAAATCCAAGAATCTACTAAAAGCATCTTTACAGGATTTTAGATTATTTTCCTTTCAGCAAATTTTGGGGAGCAGCCCAGGGGGTGAACTGTGACAGTATGTAGGTCCCTCTTTCTCCCTTCCAAAGAAGCACACTTTTTTGGTTTTCTGTGGGGTCACAGTGTGCTGGAGGAGGATGACTTGAGCCTAGGACTCTGCGTCCGTGGCAGGACTGAGACTACTTTCTCTAACCTCAGTCTTCATCTGCAGGTTAAGCAGTCTCCAAGGTCTCTCCCAGCCCTGTGTTTTCTGTGGAGAACAAGGAGAGCTCTGTTTCTTCTGGACCTGAAATAGAAAACCCTCCCCCTGGCCCTAAGAACACTCACTGGAGGAGTACTGTGGCAGTGTATGCAGTGTCCCTTCCCACTTACCTTTCAGTATTCTCGATGTCTGTGGAAACCTGCCAGGAGTGTTGCTGACTGTCAGTGGGAGATGACAAGGAGTCCTCTAGGGCAGGAGTTTCAACACTCTCTTCAATTTTGCAGTCCAAACTCTTTGTTCCCCCACCTGCTTCCTTTCCTAAGGGAGAAAGGTTGTTGGGAAAGAGAAGGGGATAAGAAATCTCAAATGAAAGTTCTGTGCCAGTATGTTATTGCAAAGAGTGGATGTGCTCTGAGTCAAATGCTACATTAACACTAATAACTTTCCATGTAATTAAAAAGTGTGTGTGTGTGTGTGTGTCTGTAGCATGTTTTGTAATACTCTGAGAAACATTGTTGAGGTCAAAATACCCTAAAGATAGAGATAAAATATTAAAGCCCCTGTTTTGATTGATACCTTGTAACCTATTATGAATTAGATCAAGTTTGCTTTGGAGGAGAAATAAAACCATGCTGGTTTTGGTCTCACATTTAGGGTCAGGTGAAAAGGGCCTGGAGTGAATGACACTTGTCAGGAAGAATGGGAGCTCCTGCTGTTGTCTCTGATTCGAGATGCTGGCTCTCTTGGCCTACAACAGAGATCATGGATCCTTTCAATTTCTCGGCTCTCCAACCTCCTTTAGTACATCCTTCTGTAAGGCTGTATGATCCAACCTTATCATGCTGAGACACTAAAGTGCTTTGTACTAGGTAGCTGTCCATAGCGATGTCCTGCCAATCCATGAAGACTAGTATTTTTAGCATGATTGATCTCAAGTAAATAAACCAAGACTTTCTGGAAAAAGTCTCCAAATAAGTTCAGCCCTAAATATATAGGAAATTATGTGGGGGATTATAGTGCAAGGGCTAAGCTTACTCTAGTAAAGTCATTTTTTTTTGCTTTGAAAATCTTTTTATTCACAAAGGGGTATGTATCTCGTAACCTAGGTGTAAATGACCTACAAATAAATTCATTTATTATAATTTAATGTAAATTAATTTATAAATATTTCTTGAGTGTCAGCTAGTACTAAGCACTGGTTTGGTGCTAGAAATATAAAACATAAAGTACCGGAGATAGACAATAAAAAACTATACAAATAATTGCAAAGCTGTTGTATGACATTATGTAGTCTACAAAAGAGTAACCTAAGTCTTTTACTGTTTCACCCAGTTTCATTTTTATTATGTGGCTACAGCTTTAGACTAGTTAAGAAATTGTTACAGCTCACATCATTGAAGATAACTATATCTATTACCGCTTAGTCTCCCTAATTTTGCTGTGATTTTTTTTTTCCTTAAAAACTTAAACTTGTGAAGAGGATGGTTGTTCATGGTAAAATTTAGCAGGAAGCTTTTCTCTTGGATTCTGATTCAAAAGGAATTAGCAAACATTTTGTTCCTGTGGTTTCTAACCTATATGGCAGCAACACAAAAAGAAAGAGACAAGTGGTAACTGCAGCATCAAACTGCAGCAGACACACAAGTTTACTGATGCAAAATTTTGATCCTTTGCTGTGTACTTTCATGCAGGTTGATTCTAGGGGATGGAACTTGCCTGAGGAATTGTTTTTGCAATTTTGTGGTAGCTTTTGGGCAAAAATTAATTAAGCACATAATTTAGCACATTACCATTTCACAGTTGGAGGGCAATGACCTCTTAAAAACATTTGCATTTTGCCTCTTGGTAGAGTGCAACAAATGCAGTCAGTCCATTTACCACCCACATCTGGGCAGAGTTAGCCTTAGGATCTGAGCTTGGGCAGGGGCCACTGAGATCTGGGAGAGGGACAAAACGGGGGACTCTGCCAAAATAACCTTCTACTTTTTAAACTTCTGAAGGGTAGAACATCCTGAAAGCATAAGTGGAGCATATCTTTGACTAATTATTTTGGAGGATGTCTGTGGAATATAAAACTTCTCAATCTTTACAAGACTGAAAATACATTTCCCTTTCATTCTTCTTCTCTGTGCTCACACTCAAATTGTCTTGCCTAGGTACATAAATCTATGTTCAAACTAACCTTCTCTAAGAACCTGGATGATATTGTTCCTTTATCTTCTATTTATACCTAAGGATGCTTTGTAGGTAGCCTATTTATGGCTCTCTGAAAGTTTTTCAGGATGTAATCTTTTAAACTTTTGAATTCTAAAGTGGATCCTCAAAATATCTAGGCATGAGTCCTTTTTTGCTAAATTTTCTTGGAATTTGCAATTTATTTTTCCTAATTTTTTATTTTTGAAAAAATTTCATATCAGTTTTAGTTATAAAATATGTTATTTTATAATGAGTCATTTAAGAGTAAGTTGCAGACATTAATGACATTTTATCTTAAATATTTCAGTATTTATCTCCTAAAGAACAAGGATTATATAACTTTAAAATAACTTTCACACCGATCTTTAAACTTTGATTAAATATGATTCAACACAATTTGATGCAGAACTATTATTTAACTTATAGTCTATATTCAAATTTCCTCAGTTTTTCCAATATCCTTTATAGCCTCTTTGTGAAAATTGAGGAACCTGATTAAGAACTATGAACACATTTTGTTGTCATGCTTTTAAATTTCCTTTTTAATCTAGAAAGCATTTTTGGCTTTTTTTTCATTTCATGGATAATTTTTATTTTGTAGAATGTTTTTCCATTTGGATTTGTCCAGTTGTTTCCATGTGTCCAGATTCACAGTAAACATTTTTGTCAAGAATGTTATAGAGGGGGTGAAAGGAATGCAATGCAATAAAATTGATAAATAATACATAAATAAATAAAGAGAAATGGACCTAAAACAAAAAGAATGTTATAGAATAGTGGGTCCTTTAGTGCATCACCTTAGAAATCACATAAGAAATCACATAATCTTACTCTTAGTGATGTCAACTTGGTTAAGGTGGTTTCTGCCTGCTTTTGATATGGAAGATGTACTTTGCTCCTTTTGTAATTATGAAATAATCGACTAGGTGATTGAGATAGTGTGCTATTTTTAATTCATTTTTTGCTATTTTTAATTTAAATATTTATTTTTTTAACTTTGGTAAAAGCTTTTTTTTTTATTATCTACTACTTCTTTCAATTTCTCTATTCTCTTAGAATTCCTGATTCAAATTTGAATCTCTGGCTCTATCTTTCGCATTTCTTAACCCTCCTCCATGGCTGGTATTTATCATTTGGACTGAATTCTGAAAGAATACCTTAATTTGGTCTTTCAGTTCACCAGTTTAGGCTCTCAGTATTTCCATCTGATAATTGTTAAGAATTATGAAAGTTCTGGGATTTCACCCTATGAAAATTAGCTTGCAACAATTTCATGGAGAGTGGAAGATGCCATGATATTCCTGGGTCAGAGACAAAAATAACTTATTACTCCCACGATAGCAGTAGCCAGCATATCAGTATTTGTACTGGTTTCTTGAGTCCTAGTTTCCATAGGGTGATGCAAATGGGGCAGATGATGCCTGCATACACAGTAGGGTGTGACAGGAGAAGAACCCCTGGCTCAGGGTTCCAGAGTCTTTTATTAGCATGTCTGCCTGCTGCCCCAGATGGAGACATTTTCATGATATTCATAGTTGGCATATGCTTTGCTCTGGAGGGAGACAGTCTCTATTTTCCAAAGTATTTGCTAAATAAATATCCTGATAAAATAGTGCAAAACAAAGGAAAATCAATGCCTCACTTTGTAAGATGTGTAAAATGTAACAGACCAATGGAGAATCGTCTGCGAATATTAATTAACAATTATTGTTTTATGGTTATAGCAGACTCATAAATCTCTTTGGATATGATACATGTATTTAAAATTTTGCATCATCTTAAAATTCATTCTTCTAGTAGTAGTTGTATTTGGTGTCATCATTTTATAGTGCTGTTTTTTTTTTTTAACCTGGTCATTCTTGGCTGTTTATTCAGCTATGTCTTTTAGGATCTTTATTTTCCTATTATTCTAATAACACTATCTGTATGGTAATTTTAAAGAAGAATCAAGGTGTGTGGCTGGAAAACAGTGTCCAAAGCCTTTAATCTGAGTGAAAAGGTTTCCTTTCCCATCTCCAGTGTTGTTTCCTGAACACCCTGTTTATTCTTTAAGCCCCAGGTCTACTCCAAGCTTCCTGGTCAGAATTTTAATTCCATCAAGAAATACTGAGCACAAGGGCACATAGGTAATGGGGGAAAAATAAGAACTAAGATACATCATGTTCAGGTACAAACACCTAATGATAAATGTAAATGTAAATGTATTGTATACCTAAAATGTACCAATTAATATATAAAAAAAGATATCCTGAGCAATTTAGCCTGGCAAAAGCTCTGTAGCACTGAGCTCACTTTCTTTTTCTTCTGTTGCTATTCTTGTGAAGGCCCAGAATGATTTCACACTCTCTTCTGCTTTGCTGCCCAGGACTGACATTCACAGTAGGCATCATCCTGGGGCAAGCACTGATAGTCTCTGGTGCTCAGTGTGGGGTAGCCTAGCTTTTCCTAAATGCAATTTCCAACACTAATTTTCCTAACAGAGGTTCCAGAAGTCTCTCCTATGACTTGTATTTGTTAGCTGAGTTTGAAGTATCCCTGGAATTGATTTCATTATTGCAGATATTTTTCCCACTTGATTTTTTTCCTGTGTTTCTTATCTGCTATGGATTCTTCAGTTCATTTGTTTCCACCAATCCAATCTTAATTACTTCCTAGCTCAAATTTTCTGGTTTGCTGAATTCACCCTTCTTTGTTTTTCACCTTCTATTTCCTTTTCCTCCTATAATTGAACAGGATCATGTGACTGAATTATGGTCAAGGGGCTCTTAGCAGGAACATGTCTCTGCCAGACTGACCCCTAAAAGTCTTCCTTCAGGATACCATCATGCTTTCTGACCATTGGATGGAGGCCAAGATCTGCCTCCCTCTGACTGTTGATAGATGCCAAGAACAGAAAGAGCAATGCCATTTACTTATCGCAGCTCTAGAACTGGACTATGATTTGAGTGAATAATGAACTCATTATTATAATCCATTGGGATTTGGTATTATCTCACACAATAGTTGCCCTACCCAGAAATTATAACAACTAATATGGATTTATTCTTTTCATTATATATTTTTCTCTTATGTCAGTGTACTTTTCAGTAGGAAGGGGAATATACATGAGTTCGGTCCAAAAT